TTGGGCTGTTAAACTCAGAAGCTGATAATGAAAAGTCGGCTTGATTATGACTATAATTTTCCATGCACAGAAGAGATGAAAGCAATTTGATAATGTGTATTTGTATTGCACATACATTCAGAACTTACCTCCTTTGTGTCAGTGATGAAGTGATGTTATAGCGGATGGGACATGGATGGATTTGTAAGGTCCATCGTTATTGTATAATGATTTTTCTTTTTAAGAGAGAAGCGCTTTCTCTCTGAAAGCAAAGCACTTACCACTATGATTACTTCTATTAGTTCTGGGGAACAGCAGCTTTAATAAATGTCAGTGAATTGTTATTTATGAAAATGTCATAAATTAAAAAAAGATTGAATGTAGAAGCTCTGTCATTTTTTTTTTTTTTACATTAAAACGTATTTGAAATGTTTGTAGAAACTGTTTTAGCTACAGAGCTGAATCAGAAAACTGACAAGCATTGTGCCATAATCCAGTGTTGTGTTTATAGGAACATATGATCCCAGTCCTTCTCTCTCACTACTCTCCTGTCAGCAAAATGATCAGATGGGAACAAGATTGACAGTAATGTGTTTTACAGTAAACATTTTTTAATATGTATAAATATGGCATATATACTTAGCATAATAATCAGGCTGATACATTTTCAAAGTTAGCAAAACAGACCAGAACAGTATCTAGAAAAGTTAAGTGTGGAAAACCAAAGGATTACACATACTCTTAAATCATTTTGATTAAAAAGAAAGAAAAACATACAGAGTGAAAGAAAAGACACCCTCTGTAGATGTGGTCATTCACAGCAAATTTGTTTGTACATACACTATAATAGCAGTGGTCAAAAACTTCGTTAGTCTAAAAAAACAGAGAAAAAAAGTTGAAAATCAAAGTTTTAAGTTTAAATTTTGTGCTCTTTGTAGAAAACATTTGTGTAGGACGACATGATCATTTTGGACACCTTGCACCACTGTAAAAATGCCATCTGTAAAAAAAAAAAAAATTCAAAACATTTGCTCTTCTGATTCTCTGCTGAGAAACGTTAGTGAAAACAACACTAACTTTACTAACTTTATTATACTCAACCTGGCTAAGACAGAACTGCTTGTGGTTTCAACAAACCCATCACTTTATCAAAATTTCACCATCCAGTTAGGCTCATCAACCATAACTCCTTCAAAAACAGCTAGAAACCTTGGAGTTGTGATTGATTATATATATATATATATATATACACCTTGCTACGTGTACTGCGTTAGGCTAACCGAGACTTGTCATTTGCACTTATATATTGTTGCTCTTTTGTTAGTTTTGACTGCTTTTATTGCCCTCATTTGTAAGTCGCTTTGGATAAAAGCGTCTGCTAAATGACTAAATGTAAATGTAATGTAAATGTAAAACACATGCAAACAAAGCATACAATGAAACAACCATTATTTTGAAAACCAGAATTTGATGAGATTGTAAGCCCATTTTAACACATTCCAAGAGTTGCCAAAATTGTTGTTCTCAGCTTGTATTCTTGCCAGGTCCTCCTGTTTCGTAGCTAATTGCATTTTCATTTTCTCTAGTCATTCACGTTCTAGATTTAGATGCTCACATGCTAGAGCCTCCATCTCTCTTTTTCTCTTTTCTTCATTTTTTTAGGAATATTTGTTTAATTTCCTCAATTGCTCTCTCTGCTTCCCGAAGCATGCCATTAGTGTAGTATTCTCCACCATTTCATCAATATTGTCTAGCAGTTGCATAACCTGTCCTGAATCCTGTTGCTCCTCAGCGTTCTCCACATTTTCTGACAAATGCTTGTAGTTCTGAATTGCTGTGCACAAATGTTTTCATGTGCTGCTCTCTAAGCTGATCTCTGTAAGTAAACACCGCCATTGTATAATTTAATGCCTTTTTACCACACAATCTGTCAGTGTAATTCTCTACCTCTTCTTCAGTCATACTTGTATCAAAAAGACCAGGATTGTCAATAATTTCATTTTTTTCTTCCCTTAATAATCCTAAATTCCTTTTACATTTTTGAGTAACAGATGAAACTAAAAGACTGGAGTTGAAGATACTTCCCCCAGGATGGTGGTTCCTGTTGCACTTTTCCCAAGCCCTGTCTTTCCAAGCAGGACAATTCGGAACTATTTTTTTTGTTCTGTTAGATGAATCATGACATGCAAGACTTATTTTGTTAAGTCTAATTGCTATTACAATCTATTTCATGACTTATGAAACAGATAATTATAATAAATAATTTCTGTAATTCAATAGTTTCAATAGGCTATGGTTTTTGTATACAAAGCACAAATACATGTATAGTTGGAAAAGGACCACCAATCTAAGATACTGACATAATTTAATTCTCTCTATTTCTTCCAGAACACCACCGAATGAAGTGTTGGTCTCAGGTATCCTAATCTACAAATAAGTATATAAATATATAATATTTAAAATTACTGAATAGCATATAGGTGTGATTTAATATATATATATATATATATATATATATATATATATAGGCATCTCTGTCCTCAGTTTCACTTTACTGTTAGTCTTTTTAAATATCCCTTTAACTAACAAAAGCTAAGTGACTCTCAGTCTAAAGCATTCTACCCTATTGCGTTCCATCCTGTTTGGCATCCTGTTAATTGTTTTGTCATAATAATATTATGCCACAATTAATCTAAGTCTCTGAGTAAGTTTAAGTGTGTGCTTATCAAGAGACTTGTACACCAGGTCCTTGCATATTCATTGTACACAGCTCAGAAAATACTGCATATTATAGGAAAAACCCAGTACAAGCTTTCTATCAGCTCTGTCTGACAAAGGGCAATGGTCTTTCCAAACAATATATTTAGAATATTCCATCAGTGCCTAATGACTTTTCATATGCAAAAAAATATAACAAAAAATAACTTGACCGGTTTCGTTCCAAACCTAGACTTTCTTTCTTCTGTGAAAAAAAGAAGATATTTTGAAAAATAAAAGAAAATATTTTGAAAATGCCACAGTGTATTTTCATTTCGGGTGAATTGGTATCCATTACTTTTGATGAACCTGACTACCATGTGAACTACATTTAACAAATGAAACTAAATAATAGGACAGTTCAGTAAATGAAAATAACCTGCATCACCAACAGAAACTATAGCAAATATTGCACAGGTGTTTCAACAGCTACATTGTTGGTGTAGTTTGTATTTCTATTCAGGGCTGAAAAGTGTATTCTCCTCAGGGCTGAACACAATTCAATAATAGCTTGTAAAAAAAAGTTATTCACTGTTTGTTGTACATGGCTCTTCTTTAGAAACTTCAATAGGCTAAGTGATATATACAGTAGCCCATGACATAAACATGCAAGGACAAATGATGTAAACCTGAAATTTCCCACCAAATATATAGGAAGAAAAACAATCCACACTACAAGCAATAGGGCCATTTTAGATGGCAGATAAAAGAGAACGATTTTAACAAAGTTCTCATTTTGCATAAGCCATTTGTGGTGTATTGAAAATCATAACATCCCAGCAACATTTTTAAAATCTACTTTCAGTTTTACTTAGAACAAAAATGACAGAAGAAAGATTGTGTGTACAGGGATTATGCAGCCCAACTTTATTTAACTCTTGTCCTTGTTTAACTCTTCAACCCAGTAGAACAGTATGCATTACCCTTGTTGGTAACACTTTAGAATAGGGAACACATATTCACTATTAACTAAGAGTTTTCCCTGAACAAACTCTTAATTTGCTGCTTATTAATAGTTATTTGTTAAGTTAAGTAAGTTGTTAAGTTTAGGTATGGGGTAGGATTAAGGGATCTAAAATATGGCTATGCAGAATAAAGCATTTGTGCGAAAGCCGACTTTTATAAGTACTAATAAACAGCCAATATGCTAGTAATATGCATGCTAATAAGCAACTAATTAATAGCGAGAATTGGTCCTTAAAATAAAGCATTACCCACTTGAGTAAAATAGACTTATCATTTTGCAATGGAGAGTGTCAAGTTCACTGCCAAATTTACAAAGGTTGGTTTTCTAAGGTGTATATTTATATAGTGCATTCCGCACCGAGTAGTTCTAGGAACTTAAGTTAACTGCACCGGATGTAACTGAGCTGGCTGAGGTGAAACGCGGAAGTGATTGTGAGTTTTCCTGGTTGCATTCGTACCGGCAGCAGGAACTCTGAAGCGGCCGACAGTGACGTGGACAGTAAAGAAGATGAATGTAAAATTTACGTGATTGAAAGAGCAAAAAGTGGGGCTAAGAGACGAATTCTCCTATGACAACTTAAAGTGTTACATATCATCGAGGCTGAGAAAAGAACACAACATTGCAGACAAAAGGTAAATGCCGTTATCGCTGTTTTCCAAGTTTGTGGAGTTAATATGTTTACATGGCTTTTTAAAAATATTTTGGCCAATCAGTGAACACTTACGTCACTGATAGTTCCAATTTAATTTTTTTAGACCCTACTCTGAAGTAGGAGCTAATTAAGTTCCCCCAAACCGAGTTCCTAGTTCCTGAGGTGTGAACACGCCAAAAAAGAGCCAATTCTGCCAATAGTTTTATAGGAGGTATGAAAATGTTCCTCCAGTGCGAAAGCCCCTTATGTTATAACACGTATTTAAAGGAACCATATTAATGCTGGACCAACCCAGCCTCTGTTGATGCCCTAGTGGTGTGACCATTTACTCGGCGCTTGATGTGGCCAAACCTGTGTTCTGCCAAGGTTTTTATCCCACTTGTTGTGCCCTGATTTCCTGATGCTAACCTTACCTCCTCACCTAAACCTGAAGACTGTAATTCACCAAGCCGACATCAACAGTCGATTACAGTCCTTACATCATCCACTTCATAGAGCAAATGGAAATTTGGAACATAGTGGGTGGGGCATGCTTGCAGATTTGCAATATTTACTTGGATATGGGAGGGCTAAAAGAGGCAGAATATAAAGAGACTCAATGATTTATTTTTCCACACTAAATCTTCAGCAAAGTGCACCAGAAATCCTTCAACAAATATACCCACCCACACCTATCCACTTCAATATTATGGAAGCCGAAAAAGGTAAATCATGATTTTTTCACAACATCTCTTTCTATATTATTGCTATTAGATTTGAGTATTTAATTTATGTTCCAAATGTACCAATTATGGTTCGAAATGTACCATTGCAGAAGAGCACTGAAAAAAAATATACAGGAACAATTCATTAAAGGATATTAACATAATGAAAAAAGATTGAGAAATGACTGCGAAACGACATCCATGTAATAGAGCATTTTATGCATTCATTTCATTATTTGATTTGCTAAACAAAATAAAATAATACATCTTCCAAAAGCACTGTCACTTTACAATGTTGTTCATATGCTGTAATTTTTATATACTGAATTATGGTGATGGTGGCTGTTTTCCTCATGATTATGAAACTGAATGATGCAAAATATCTGGTTGTAATGCATAGAATGCACCAAAGTTTTGACACTTATGTGGAACAGAATTGATGACATAATGAATACCATCATAAACACTCCTCTGCAATGTTTTAAAAAATGTTCCATTAGAATATGGGTTTGAAATGGGAATCTCAAATAGGACTATAAATTGTATCTCCGGAACATTTCGAGTTCTAATATCATGTACGTTGTTAGTTGATGAACAGGGCCAAGGGAGGTGATAAAAATAGATAAGGTGAGGATGTGCTAAAGTGTCATTTTAACTGAGGACAATGGGTGATATACAGCATGAATTGTCTACAAAAATACTGATATTTTTTGCAAATAAAGAAAATCACTATTTTCCACAATTTCGTCACAACAAATCCAACCCTTAAGAAATAATACAGATGTAATAATGTCCTTGTCCTTTAACAGTGCAGAGGACTCAGAAGAGCAGTGATGAAATAAGAATTGTGCTGGTTGGAAAGACTGGAGTAGGAAAGAGTGCAGCAGCAAATACCATCCTGGGAGAAAACAAGTTTAATTCCAAGTTTAAGACAACCGGAATGGTTTGGAAACACATGATAGAGGTGGAAAAGAGAGAGAAGAATCGCTTTATGTATCCCCCAATTGTAAGTCGCTTTGGATAAAAGCGTCTGCTAAATGACTAAATGTAAATGTAAATGTAAATGTAATTCAGAACTGTCCTCCTCCTCTGTGACCATAGACTGTGATAAGGCCAGAGGAGATGTCAATGGGCAAAAGGTGGCCGTTATTGACACTCCAGGCTTGTTTGACACAAAAGAGGAACAAACTGTGATTGAGGCAAAGATTAAACTGTGCATATCGCTCTCTGCGCCAGGCCCTCATGTTTTTCTCGTGGTTGTGCAGCTTGGGAGATTTACAGCAGAGGACAAAAAATCTGTGGAGCAAATTCAGAAAATCTTTGGTGAACAAGCATCAAAATACACCATGGTGCTGTTCACTCATGGAGACAGGCTGAGGCGTGGACAGAAAAGCATCCATAAATTTGTTAAAGACAGTCCTGATCTGCTTGACTTTGTCAAGACTACAAGTGGCCGATACCATGTTTTTGACAATGAAGAAAATGATCCAAACCAGGTCAACATGCTGTTTGAACAAATAGAGCAGCTTGTGACTGTAAATGGTGAAGAGTATTACACAAATGAAATGCTTCAGGCAGCTGAGAGAGCAATAGAGGAAGAAAAAGAAAGGCTTATGCTGCAACAACAAATGACTGAACAGGAAGCGAGATACAGAGCAGAAAGAAACAATAAGTTTCTGAAAGCCGGTTCGGTAGTGGCAGGAGTTGCTGCTGCTGCTGCTGCTGCTGCTGCTGGTGCTGTTGCTTTAAAAGCCTGCCAACTTCAATGAGAAAAGTTCTCTGATTGGTTAATCCATCATTGGATTGTCATTGATTAGCAATATATTCCTTGATTATTATTATTATTCAAAATAACAAATGACAGTAGCTCTTATATTTTATGTCTACACACTCAGTGCTAGCTAATGGAAAAACTTTATTATACTGGGTCACTGTAATTTGTTTTAGTATACTACAATGCATAATTGTAATGCAAACCTGAAATTAATAAAAAATAACTGAGTGAAAAAAATGTTTTGTTTTGTTTTTAGATACTTGATGACTTAAACGTATGCTTACTACGTGCAATGTTTGTTGTTTGTAACATCATTTTGTGTTTGTTAGAGCACTGGTTATGAATGCCGACCTTGAGTTTTGAATTTTCTTTTCTTTTTGAACAAATTAAGTTCCATCTTTCCAGGAGTGAAGGAGCACCTTCGACTGATTCTGGTCGGCCTTCAGGGAGTTGGGAAAAGTGCAGCAGGAAACACCATTCTGGGCCGAGAGGAGTTTCACTCAGACCTCAGCGCCACCTCTCTCACATCAACAAGTGAACGGAGGGATGCTGTTGTCTGTGGGAGGAAAGTGACTGTTGTAGACACTCCTGGCTTATTAAACTGTGATGCTTCTAATACAAATGTAGAGCAGGAGCTAGAAAGAGCCTTGACTCTGTGTGAACCCGGACCCCATGCTTTTCCCTTCATTATTCAGTTGGGCCGCTTCACTGAGCAAGAAAGACATGTGATGGACATACTCCAGAAGATGCTGTGCTCAAATGTGAATTTGTTCACAATAGTACTTTTTACATATGGAGACAAACTTAAGAATAAAAGTGTAGACCAGTTTGTAGGGGAGGATAAAAACCTGCAGAAACTCATCCAAAAATGTGGATCACAGTATCATGTGTTTAATAATAATGACAGAGAAAACACAAGTCAGGTCAGTGAGCTCTTTGAGAAAGTGGACAGTCAGTTGGGAAAGAGAAACAAAAAATATTTTGTTAGGACAACAAACAAGGAGCAGGGAAAGTCCTGGAATACATGGCACTTCTACATTGCTGCTGCTGCGACTGCTGCTGCTGCTGCAGCAGCTCTGTTTACGTATGCAGCATTTGCCAAGACACAAACACAGAGTAAAATCCCAGAGTATTTTCCAAAATCCTCAAGCGATGAGATAACAAAGGTGAAAGCAGATGTGACTCAAAGTGAAGCATGTTGGGAAATGTTGCACAGCCTGTTCAACAAGGACAACAAGAAAGTGTATTTATTTGGTTTAGTACCACTGCTTTATCTTGTGAAGAAATTGATGAAGAAATAAATGATAGCAATATAGCAATGTACACCAACTGTTTTAAAGAGTCTGTTGAGAAATGACATCTATGTAAAACACTTTGAAATGCAGATACACAAATGTGCCTTTGAAACATTGCCTGTTTGGAAGAAATAATGTATATTTACTATTTTAAACATTGAAAAAAATGTATGCAATTCATTTCTATGGTAAAGTTTTATCTTATGTAAAACACATTCATATTTGCCTGTTTCAAAATGTAGTAACTAGTTGATGGTAACAGTATGTTAAAGTTTACTTATGACTGATTCTGGTGTAAACATTATGTTTGTGTTATAAAATAAAAAGATTAACAGAAAGTTTGTCATTATAGCTTATTGTTATGAATTTTTATATACTGATTTCAGCTGTGCTTGAAACGTGGAATTAAAGGCAGTTGTTCTCAGTTTTTGTCTTCTAAACCTAGGAGCAAACTTGAGCTTTTGGATTAAAGTTTAAAACTGTCCCACTGGCATTCATTAAATGACACAACAGTGAACTTTGTGGTCTTGCAAATATTTAATCATTTCATAGCTGCACGGTTGCTGTTGATTCTTGTGTGCTGTACAACAGTTCACACAAGTTTCAGGACAATGGCAAAGCAGGTATTTCCTGCAGCAAATGCTTTGTTATCAAGAAAAACAAATATATAAAACATAGGCACATCTTCTTGAAGAAAAACATTTTCAACAGATATTCATTTCAGTGTGAAATTTTATATAAATGTTTATGATGTAACATATTACATTATGCAGTATTACAATGTATTTGTTCATTGCTTTTAAACAGTGCCAGAGCAGCAGGATCCATGTGAAGAGCTCAGGATTGTTCTCTTGGGAAAGACTGGAGTTGGAAAAAGTGCTACTGGAAACACCATTCTTGATGAAAAGTTTTTTAAAGTGAATTTGTCATCATCATCTGTGACAAAGGTTTGCTGGAAAGCTACAAAGAATGTTAACAGCACAAAGGTTGCTGTTATTGACACAACAGGACTGTTTGACCCCAGCTTTACTATAGAGGAGATGGTCAGCAGAATTAAGCTGTGTATTCCCCTTTCTACTCCCGGTCCACACGTCTTCTTGCTGGTGCTTCAGCCTGGTCACTTCACAAAAGAGGACAGAGACACAGTGGACATCTTTCTCAAGATCTTTGGAGAAGATGCAAATAAGCATACCATGATTTTGTTTACACATGGAGACAAGTTTGAGGGTAGAAATATCCAAGAGTTTGTCGCTGACAATCCTGATTTGAAGATACTCTTCAAGAAATGCCAGAAGTGATATCGTGTTTTTAATAATGAGTCCAAAGATGCCATGCAGGTTGATCAACTTTTTGAAAAAATACACAAGATAAATTCTGAGCACGGAGGACGCCGTTATACCAGTGAAATGCTAGAGAAGGCAGAGATTGCAATTCAAGAGGAAAAACAGCGAATCTTAATGGAAAACGAAGAGCAGAGAAGCAGAGAACTGGAGGATCTGAAAATCAAATATGAAGCAGAGGCTCTGAAACAGGCCATAACAGAGCTGTGGGAAAGGAAAGAGAGGGAGGCAAGAGAGAAAGCGGAAAGAAACAACACGTATCTCAAAGTAATTGCAGAGTTTCTGTTTACTACTCTTGAAAAGTTCATTATGAGAAACCTTCAAAGGACAAAATCAATGAATGATACTGGTTGAACACCTGTAGGTTTATGAATCTTTTTAGAGACCAGCCCAAATAACTTTAACCTCTGCAGACTGCACTAACCCATCTATAGTAGCATATACAGTGTGTATATATACAGTTAGCCCAAATGTTATCTGGAGAATTAAGGAACCATTAAAAATATATATAGATTTATTTGCATTAATTAACACATGCACACTTATGCAATGCATTTCATAAAATGATAATTGTTCAAAATGATTACCTACATATGTGGTTTCAGCGATCCGATGAAAACATTTCAGACCCCATTTATACTTATATTTAGCACTGACCACTTGTGAAGAAAAAAAAAACAATTAAAAAGGATGTTAATACCAGGTGTAAAAGAGTCACATTTTAAGGTTTTAAGTGAGACTTAAGTATCCAGAAGTGTTTGTTTGTCTGTTCACAAGTTCCAGACAGACTAAGAGTCTTTGAAGGGAATTTTTCAGTGAACTGATTAATTGAACTGATTCATTCAAAACACTGATTCTTACATGAGCGAAACAAGTGACTTGCTGAAATCGGAACAGCAACTTAGCACATTACTCGTATTACTGCCATTACTCTGGCAAAAATAATAAAAACAGTATACAGTTCCAAATTCTGCAACTGTCTTTATAAGTCAATATATTCAACTAAATCATTCAAAAATGATGATTCATTCAGGAACGAAAGAAGTTTATGAATGAGTCATTGAATCAGTCAACTCACCCAATTTGTTCAAAAACACTGAACCATTCAGAAAACACTGTTGTGTATAATACTATGTTTAACACAGTGTTGCAAACAAGTGCACATACAGTACACGCACACACACAATGGGTATGTATAGGCCTAAGAAACCAAGAAACTAAGATACCATAAAATAGGAACTAAGATACTGATATAAGGTAATAGAATGTTCAATATTGCAGCACTAAATTAACAAGACTTCAGACTGAATACCAGGTATGAGCAGACATGTGGTAATGTTTTTAATTGAGCAGTTGATGCAAAGCATTAAAGTATGTTTTCCTTAATTCGAAACATGTAAAGAAAAAATGTAAGCTGTTCATCTTTAGAAAGACAATTTTGAACAAAATTAAAGAATCAATGCTTTAAAAACAGTTGAAAATAAAACTTCAACGTCAGCTGGCTGCATATATGCTGAGTTTCAAACAAACACATTTTATATCATGTTCAAATGCAATTTTAATAATGTGAAAACAACTGAAGTAATTCAGATAACAGCTAAACAAAATCGAGTCTTTATTTACTTTTACGATTTATGGACACAAATTGTAGATACTGATGCAAGTGGAGTATTAAAAACTATTTTATGGACTCTCCCTGTTAAAAGTTTCAAATAATGGGAGAGATATACAAGAATTTCTAGGACTAATTTAGCAAAATAATCATAACACTTACAAAACCACAAGTGTATGAAATATGTATGAAACTAGAAAAGACCATTATTTGTTTTAAATTTTTTGATGAAGACAAGTAATGTGTCCATTGGAGATGAACTGGCTTAGACAAAGTTGAACAGTTTCTTCAAATAATTGACCACTTTCATTATAAATGAAGGGTTCCTCTCTGCTTCCCATCTTGCTTGCTGCTCGTAATCATTGTTCAGTTTTTTCTTAGCTTTTTCGTAGGCCTCATCTTCAAGTTGAGTCCTCAGAATTTCTAACTCTTTCTGTCTCTGCTCTGCTGTCTCCTGCAGGATACGTTGTTTCTCTTTCTCAATTGCTCTTTCTACCTTTTCAAGCATCTCACTGGTGTAGTGTTGCCCACCATTCCCAGTGACCATTTTATCAATCTGGTCAAGCAACTGAATGACCTGTTCAGGATTTTGTTCTTTATTGTTGAACACGTGGTATCGTCCATTGCATGTTTTGATGAAACTGAGCAGATTTGGGTTGTCCCGCACAAATGTGTGAATGTTTTTGCCCTCCAGTCGATCTCCATGAGTGAACAGTGCCATGGTGTACATGGAAGATTCCTCACCAAA